GAGTGAAAGCAGAATATACTTGGAAGGAAAGAAAATACCTGATTTCTAGTCCTGTCCTCTGCTGTTTACTACCTCCAGCAATAAACCTGTATTCATTTGTAAAATGAAGATAATTATTCCTACCCACCTGACAGTAATATTGTAAAGATAAATGATATCTCTTGAAAGAGCTTTAGGCACTATTAAACACTTCACAATTGTTGGGAATGTATTTTATTTTTATTTTCAGAAATTAAAGAGATCTTTATTGATAAAAGATACTCTTTTTCAAAATAATGCAGAGGTGGGCTATGACCCCACATGTAACTCTTATCATAATTACCTGGAGAAGGATCTATCAGCTGTTTCATAATCCCTATTGCTCGGAAAAATTTTACAGTAAGCAGTAGCTCCTATAAAGCCTGAAGAAACATTTAAAAGAAATTGAGAACAGATCAAAGTGGTATTAAAGATATCTTTAAAACATAAGCCAACCCCAGTATTTCAATTTTTTGAGAGTAATAAGGCCATTCATCCACCTCTGCTCACCACCCATGTGGCATCCTAAAGCATTCCATAAGGCACTGAAAGACTCTTTGTAAAAGGGTTCAGAGACCAGGTTTACCTAGCTGATTCACTTTGGTCTTAATGGTGGTCAACTGGTTACAGCTGATTTCTATTCCTCCCTAAAGTCACTTAGAAAGACATCCAAACAATTACTGAGAACCAAATGCACATGGAAATTGGTCATGCACAATTTCCTAGGCTATGAGCTCTGGCATGTATTTCATGTAAACTATAGAAAATATGCCCTGTGCCACTGGCTTAAATTTGAATGTCCCCTCCTGAGTTAAATAGTGAAAATCACCCTGGTTATATTCAGAGCCTCTTCTTTTTCTCATCTTCATCGTGGATCTCTGACTGTTGGAACATTTTCCATGATCCAGTCCAACTGAACACTCAGAAGAATCTGGAAAATTGGGCTCCTTCCTTTGGAGTTTGTGTTCTCCTCCCCAAGTGGGTAGCTATGAGCCAGTTCTACCCACATTCCCAACATACACATCATGGCAAATAAAGAGCAAGCCCCAGAGGATTCAAACTACATTAAAGTTTAGGCACTATTAGTGTTCAGGATATTCATGTTCAGGACACACCCTAAGTCCTTCCTGGCCTCCCCCTGTGTCTTAGGGAGGTCTGCACTGTGTCTTACTCAACTTTAGTCCCCACTTTTGGTCCTACTTCCATCTTTTGAACTTGAAGATTTATCTTATTTCCTCAGGTACTCCATTCCTAGGTGTACTCCAAAATCTTTGGTTCATAATCACCGTCTGGCTTATCTGCAGTCTCTGGAAACAAGCTAATGAAATATCTCAAAACAACAACAATAACAATAACACAATAAATCTGGATCTCAATTTCATTGAGACCTTATTGCTTATTTCTTTCCTCCATCTACTGTGGCCCACTCTATTTTCTAGCACCAAAGTCATGAAGCTTTAACCCTGTGAATAATTCTCAGGGAACTTGTTCATAATTAACTCCGTTGTTGGCAAGAGCTCACCCTAAAAATGGGAATTCAGGCACTAAAGCAYTAGTCTTAAAAAAAAAATTCTCAAAGTACAAACTRTCAATAGTGTTGCCATTTAATTATTGTACAGCTCTTCTGATATTGTGTATATAAGCTAAAATACAAATGCGAACAATGTAGAAAACAATAGAAATTCACTTTTAAAATTTTTCTTCTATAAAATTAAATACATGGTAAAGTTCCAAAGCTGTCACCAATTTAGAATTTGTAACCTGCCTAAGATAACACAACCATCAGGTAGACCAAATAGTACTTAAACTCATGTCCTCCTAATATCAGGATCTCTCCACTTCTGATAAGGAAAAAGAGGCTATCTACCTCACAAAAAGTGTTTTTCATCACTTCCTCGCCAACACTTATTGTTGCTTGTATTCTTAATAGCTTCCACTCTGACTGGAGTGGTAGGACTGCAAATTGGTGCAGATAATCTGGAAAGCAGTATGGAGATTCCTTGGAAAACTGGGAATGGAACCTCCATTTGACCCAGCTATCCCACTCCTCGGTTTATACCCAAAGGACTTAAAAACAGCATACTACAGGGACACAGCCACATCAATATTTATAGCAGCATAATTCACCATAGCTAAATTATGGAACCAACCCAGATGCCCTTCAGTAGATGAATGGATAGGGAAACTTTGGTATATATACACAATGGAACATTACTCAGCACTAAAGGAGAGTAAAATCATGCATTTGCAGGTAAATGGATGAATTTGGAGAATATAATGCTAAGTGAAGCAAGCCAATCCCAGAAAAACAAAGGCCAAATGTTTTCTTTGATATGCAGACGCATAATGGCAATGGGGGGGGGGTCATGGGATGAATGGAGGAACTTCAGATAGAACAAAGGGAAGAGGGAAAGGAGGGGACAAGGGGGTAGGAATGATGGTGGAATGAGTTAGATATCATTGCCTTAAGTACATGTATAAGACAATAATGGTGTGAAAATACTTTGTATACAATCAGTGTCTTGAAAAATTGGGCTCTATATGTGTAATATGAAATTAATTRCATTCTGCCATTGTGTATAACAAATCAGAATAAATTTTTTTAAAAAGTATTTCTCATGATTAAAAGAAACCAACTACATGTCACTAAAAGACATGAAGTAGCCAGGTACAGTGGCTCATGYCTGTAATCCCAACAACTCAGGAGGCTGAGGCAAGAGAATTCCAAGTTTGAGGTCAGTCTCAGCAACTTAGTGAGGCCCTCAGCAACTTTGAGAGACTCTGTCTCAAAAGTTAAAAAAAAAAAAAAAAAAAGGCTAGGGATATGGCTCAGTGGTAAAAAAAAAACCCACCTCTGGGTTCAATCACCAGTACCAAAAAATATAGAAATAAATAAAAAACTTAGAGGAAACTTAAATGTATATTACCACGTGAGATATATATATATATGATTTCAACTCTATGACACTTGTGATAGATAAAATTGTGGAGACAGTGAAAAATAGTGATTACCAAAGGATGATGGGGAGGGAGACATGGTTAGATAGAACACAGAGTATTTTTTTTTCTTTTTTTTTCTTTTTAAAGAGAGAGAGAGAGAGAGAGAGAGAGAGAGAGAGAGAGAGAGAGAGAGTTTTTAATTTTTTTAGTTCTCAGCAGACACAACATTTTTGTTTGTATGTGGTGCTGAGGATCAAACCCGGGGCCGCACGCATGCCAGGCAAGTGCGATACTGCTTGAGCCACATCCCCAGCCCCAACACAGAGTATTTTTAAGGCAGGAAGTCTATTTTGATAGTATAATAGTGGATACATGCCACACACTTGCCAAAACCAACAGAATTTGCAACACCAAGAGTGAAGACCAATGTCAACGATGGGCTTGGGGTGATAATCATGTGTCAACATAGATTCATCACTTGTAACTCCATCTCTGATAGAGATGTTGATAGTGACAGAGGCCATGCATATATAAGGCAGGGCCTTGAGGAATCTCTGTATTTTTGCTAAATTTTGCAAAAGCACAAATTAAATTAACCTAAAATGCTCTAAAAAATATGATCTTTTTTTTTTTAATGGGAAAAGGCTTCCTCAAAGCACAGATATCATAGACTTTATGTTACATTGCCCCTTGCTTTAGTTTCCATATGGAGCACCTTAGGATATTGACAAGAGAACACAAACTAGACAAAGTAAGCCAATAGGATACAATACTAGAAAAAGTCGAGGTGTCTTAGTGCATCCTAATTCAACCTCTATTTCCCTGTGCCTTTCTTTCCTGTAATCTAGCTCATCAGCCTCCTGTTGTTTTGTATCCAGAAATAAAAATGAAAAAATTATAAACTTTTTCATGTCACTATTACTATGTACTGTCTCCATTACCATTTCTGTCAAAACTTTGAGGTATAAGACAATCATTTACTATGCTCATAGATTCTGTATGTTAATAACTCAGGCCCAGAGGAATGGATTATGTCTCTTCGCTGATGTCAGGAACCTGAGCTGGGAAGACTTCAAAACAGAACTGACTCAACATTTGGGGTCTGGAATCACTTAGAGGCATTTTCTCTCATATGTCCGGATGTTGATGCAGGCTATGGGTGGGAACCTCACTAGCCTGTGGGCTTCAGCACCTATCAATGGTTCTCCATTGCTCTGTCCATGTGGGCTAGTTTGCCTTTCCTCATGCAATGGTGGCTGTGTTGCCCAAAAGAGCTAGAGGAGTGTATGACACCTTTATGATCTGCCACAGGAAGCCACATAGTATCATTTCTACTATTTTCAAATGACCACAAAGGTGTGCCCATGTTCAAGAGGAAAGGACCACAAGCTCCAACCACTGGATGGGACCGGTTTAAAGATCAGGCTGTGAAAACATGTGGGATAGGAGATACTGCTGCAGCCATTTTGTAAAACATCATGTCCCACAGTAACTCTGGTTATATCACATTGTATCTTAAATATCTGGGTCTGTATGGCCTTTGAATACTTCACTCTCATTGTTTCAGATTGTAAAACACATGATGGCAGGGAAATCCATGTTGAGTTAACTTCCATGGACTCCACCACAGCACCTTGCGCTCAACAATCAGAGTACATATTATTGCTCGTGTGCAACGAATGATAGATACATGCCCTTGGGCAATCATTATTTTTATGACATAACATTTATAACATAATACATAAAATCTCCATATTAGCCAAAAAGGCATATGGCATTTTAAAATTGGTAGAAAAAAAAAAAGTTCATAATTTCTTCTCCCAAGTGAATACAGTCTTGTAAGACAGTAATTGCATTTCACCATTGGAGGAGTGGAAATGACTACCTTGAAGAATTTTTTTTTTTTTTTTTTTTACTTTTTGTCCACAATTATTTTTAGTTTAACAGATTATTAAAAGTCTTATGTTGTAATCTGTGTGAACCTTAACCAGGAGTGGGTTCTTCTGTGAAATTAACTAATGAAGGAAATTGTTCCTTTTCAGTTGATTTCATAGGTGGCTTTGACTCTTATGGCTACCAAGGGCCCCAGAAGACGTCTCACTTACAGCTTCAGCCTATGTACATGTAAGTACCTTGCTTTGGAGGTATTTTTCTGGRATACCAAAAACTGGTCAAGAAAATGTATCATGGCACAAAACAGATGGCATGAAGCTCTTCTTCAGTTATATATTTTCACTATTAATATTGTTTTGAATGAAATAATTCTGATATTTTATTTATGATTTTTTAAAAAAATTTACCTTAACAGAAATGCCATCTCTGCCATTAGTCCTACATAAATATCACCTACAAGACTCAAAATCCTGTATATTATATTCCAAGAATTGAATAACCACAAAGYTATATATTCTGAAAATGATATAACATTGTACACTATTGTATAAAAACTATATATAAACCATATTTTCTGCTTTTCCCAGGTTAGTCCCAGTTTACGTTGGTTGTCCTGGTATAACTATCAGCTTTCCATATTACTCTCAAAAGAGTTCTCATTTAAATGCTTAATTATAATTCACCATGGTTATACATAGTATTCAAAAGGAAATTTTAAAAACAGAGCAATGCTCCTTCTCTATCATTTTTCTAATGTGAAAGTGCAAATGAAACTAGGACAATAACACTGAAACTTATCAAACCCTGAACTCTAGCACTCAAGAGAGCAGACATATAATCAGAGCCTGATTTTTATATCTGTGTTTAGGCAAATTCCCTTGGATAACAACTGATAACAAATTCTATATATCAGCATCAAGTGATATGCTGAATTGCAAGCGAAGATCAAAATAGAAAGTAAGATTCCAATTCATTTTAAAATGTGAACTTCTCTCTTTGAAGATATGTGTTTGTTGTCCTTGTCCTCCACCATTAAATCATTTACCTTTTAATATCTTTAGTGTATAGGATAATCAATGGATTTGGGGGGTATTTCTCCTCCAAAGAGATTAATCTGTAGACAATCCTTTTAAGCTTCTCTTTAAAAAGAGAATGATCCATGCATTGTGCCTGCCTTTTTTATTTGTGTCCTGGTAGCTCTCTGCAAGCATTTGCTATCATCACTTATAGAAGAGACTTTATTGATTCAGAAGTTAGAGGATACTATATGTCATTCAAAGCATTGCGTCTCTAAGCCTTTCTTTACATGCCCACCACCACTGCCCTAACTCCAGCTTCTTCCTTATTTCAGAACCTCCATCCCATCCTCCGCATGGCTGCCAAATTAATCTTCCCAAAGTACTATTCTGAGAATTTCACCTCTCTGCCCAAAGGCCATCAGTTACTCCCTGTTACCTACTGAACAGAATCCAAACTTCTTGCCATAGCCTGCAAGTCTAACCTGACCTGGCCTCAATATTTCATTTAAATATCTTCTCTTCAAGTGCTAATAATGKCTGAGTCCCAACCACCTGCAGATGATGCTGGGAGTTGGTAGGGTAAATGTAATGGTGAATRAAAACTGGCCTAGCCTCCTTATGCTTTGAATCCAGTGAATTCATAAATAGACTGKTATCTTCCTTCAAGTCATTTTTTTCCCAACCAAATTCAACTCTTGCCTTCTCCAAAAAAAGGACACAGTTATTTCCAATTGTCCTGCTGTTCTTTTGACACCAGATATTATATTTTTCCCAAATTTTGCTCTTTGAAACCTCGCTGTCTTTAAATTTTATTTTAAAATATACTTCCTATATAAAATATTTCTTAACATTATTTTCCTCTAATACTCTCTTTTTTATTTTTTTGCAATATACTCTTTATACTGTATCTACCCAAACCTCTCAGAAAAATCTGATAGCTACAACAAAAAATAAAATTAGGCCAGGTGAGGTTGTGTATACCTGTGATCCCAGAAACTTGAAAGGCTGAAACAAGAGTATTGTAAATTCAAGGCCAGCCTTGAAATCTTAGAGAGACCCTGTCTCAAAATAAAAAATAAAATGGACTAGGGATGTTGCCCCATGGTAAAGTACCCCTCCATGAAATTCCAAGAACAAAAATACAAAATTATACATCTTTTGAATTTTTTGCCATTCTTCTCAATATTTTAGAGTAAACATCTGTAAGGTGTGCTATTTTAAAAGGGCAAAGCAATCAGGAGTAGTATACTGCCTGAGATTAAATTCATTATAACCTTGATCGTATAACTTTGTTTGAAAAACTTTAATCTCACCAAGCCTAAGTTTCCTCACCTGAAAAATAGAAATGACAACACATGTACTTCATTTAATTGTTCGGAAATTATATGAAAAAATCCAGGTAAAACATAGAAGACATAGGATATGTCTCATAGTAAGTGCTTAATAAACAGTATTTATTAACAGTGAAAATAATTCTTATGTCAACCAACATCATCATGAAAAGCCTTGTCAAGTCAGATATCTCATTTCCCAAAGGATATCCTCTGTATATGACATATGACATATAATATTAGCTCATGTAACAAATAACAATATATTTGAACTTAAAAGAGTAGATCAAATATCTACAAGGCATGCATTGCTTGATATTGACTATATTATATAACATTGCATTGTGTTGGTCAATATAAATGATCAGTAAAGATCACCAAGCCATAATAAATTAGATGTAACCACTCATCTAACTTTAAGCTATCTATAATAATAACATGAGAAGGCTAATTATACATAATGCTAATTATACATAATCAGCATATTGTTTCAAACCAGGCATTTATAATTCTAATGTTGATATTTAAACAGGGACTTTATAAAAATGAATATCTTTGTCAATGATTAAATTCCTTGAAGACAAAACTTCTCATGATTTTGTTAAATAAAATAGTTTAAAAGCCAAGTGGAAGTAATAAAAATACTGCCCATGAATAGTAAAATTATATGAGACCCTTCAAATTTTGTTGCTTAGGAACTAATTTACATGTTTAATGGAATTCAAATCTAAGAAGTCAGGAATACTTAAGGTACATAAAATATTAAAGTCAAAATCCTACTATCACCTCTTCCACAAAGCAWCCCATAGGAAACCTTGGATCCTAGAATACAAAGATTTTATTTTACAGATGAGGAAACTGAATCAAGAGAAAGGAAAACAACCGTCACACAACTTGTTGGTGGTACAGCCAGGATTATCAACCTCTTTTCCTATCCCCTTAATTCAGTTCTCAACAAATTTTAAGGTGGGCTGTGAGTTCGACTTCATRTTACATTCCCTGATTTTATTTTCTTGTTGGTGTAGCTTACACTGACTTAATGGCCCTATTTCCATAAAAGTCTGCACCTTCCCCTTTCTGTACATTCCCTCTATTCCCTTTTGATTTTACACTATGCTATGTTGAATGAAGGGCCTTTTAAACTTTGTAACCCTCAAAACCATTCATCTGAGAGCAACTGCCTATTCAAATCCTGTGAAAAATCAAAACTGATTCACCTACAAACCTTGTTCCCTGCTGAGAGGCAGAGACCTGAGCATCTCCTCTGTCTTTGTCATTTGGAGTGTGCCTTCTCCTGTCAACTTGCCATAAATATGTCTTGTAAAGTAAGAGTAATTTAACATCATGGGCCAGTTCGTGCACCCTAACAATATTATAGAGCAACTGGAAATAAAAGCTGTCCTTTTGAAAGAAAGCAAATGCTAAAAAGTAATGTGAAGTTTTAGCTGTGGGATTTTCATTCTACCCCACAAACCTTCTGTGGCCAGGACCCTGGACAAAGCTGTAAAGTCACTGCCAATACTGCCTGCCGGTCACAGCCCTGTTTCAGTGCCCATAGCCAATGAATGCACAGTCCTTGTTATTTTTAGTTAGGTTTTGTGAATGTTCTTGCTTTGCAAATTTTCAGATTATCTATAATCCATCTAAAAGGAAAGGTTTTTTATGTTTTCCCTTACACTTTGATAAACCTCTTTGAAACCAACTGGTAACTATGAAATTGCAGCAAAAAGAATTTCCATGTCCACAGATCAATTTTCTAGCAATGTAACTGCATGGACTGCCACAGTAGCAAGCATAGATCTGATCCTGCTCCCACCCAGTGAGATGATCCTGTGGAGTATTAGGCAGCATGTGAAAACAGTGCATTATATTGGGCAGCCCAATTGTACAGTAATACATCTTCATCTCATTCGTCCCCAGAAATAGATTTTTGAATGACCACAAGTGGGTCTCTCTATCCAGGCMGTTGCATTAAGGAAAAAGAAAAGGAGAAGAAATTTATCTAGCTAAAACCCAATTGGGGCTTCTTCTCTTTTCTTTCYTTCTGTTTTGTTTGCACTTGTGCTTGGAGAGGTGAGAAAAGGTGGTAAGGGACAGGCACCTAGCACTCTCCCCTTTGATTAAAAACATCTTTTCTCTCTCTTAGGTCAAAATAATACAGATGACTTCAGTTTGTCAGCCCATGGACCTCTCAAAGAACTTGTTTCGAAATGGCCTCCTGCATTTGATGAAGAGCAAGAAGCAGATGAATTTAAATATATATACATATTAACAGGACACACACACACACACACACACACACACACACACACACACAACCACGCACAAACCAATTCCACTTGACCTCCTTTCTAAATGAAAMAGACAAATATGCAGGACACGCCCATCCCGGATTTCCTGAAAGCAGGCTCCTTTCTCCCAGGCCTTTAAAGTTCAAAAGGAGACGCGTTGGTGCCCCCTGCTGGCCATTACTAACTCCTCGGCAGCCCAGCCAGTCAACCTCTGTGAGCTGCGAAGTCATGGGGCACATTAGTTTGAGAGCCCCGTTTTCTGCACTCCATACATCTTGATAGCACCACAGCTACTTAGGCAATGTAATTGCAAAAAAGACAAACAAAAACATGCCACGATGACCTTGTAACCGAAGTTTGAAATGGCAGGTCGTTTGCCCTAAAGGCTGTACCGTACATACTTGCCTTAACCCACCTGCGTTGTGTGCCCGAGAATCTCAGTGCAGACATCCCTGAGTCAATTCCTTTAGGCTAACACACTGCTATTCATTCCGAATGAGTTCGAGTCTGTGTGTTTCGTGTCGAGAAACAAGACTGAATAACTCAGCAGCTCCAGTGTGTCTGTGTAAGAAAACTGCCAGCTGTCAGCAAAGTGCATTATGTAACGTTGAGCCTCCCTGATGGCCAAAAAGAGACAAGTACCAATAACAACAACAATAATAGTCATCTTTATAATTATTAGGTATGGTCTTCTGRTGGGGTTGGGGTGGGACAAAGTAAAATTTATTAATCTACTAACTCATTAATCTATTGGGAGCAGAAAGCAAAAATGGCTTAACTCACTGATTTTATTTATTGCACTCTAGGTGCTTTTATAAGTATCTACAAATGTCTTTTACTAACACAGAAAACAGCTGTGGATTTCTATCMACCGAGGCCAACTGACTATGTATTAGCTATGTTTACTCTTTTATATCTAATTCAAACGGAAGACCCGATGTAGGTGAACTTTCTTTTCTAACTTCTGCATACAAGATTATTTTTTGGGTGGGTGGGGGGGAACAATAGTTACCTTGGTGAAATATTTGAGATCTCTTTGTGGTATTTGGGGGATCTGTTGTGTGTTAGAGTGTATTTCAATCCTCCTGTATTATCGTGGCAGAAAAACTGTGCTGTTACGTAGTTGGCAAACAAGATGCCTTTGGAAACTTAATAGTAGGTCAATGTGTCTATGGAATATTCTGAACTCCTAGGAAATTTTGTTTTATATTATCAAGCATTATTTGGTTTTCATTAGTGGAAAACATAATTAGCTCAGGCTTATCAGTAACTCAGATGAGTCATGATTTTCAGATCCGCTTGAGACACTAAAATCAAATTTTGTTGAACTAACACCATCTTTAATTACGGTGAAATCCAGACTGGGAAATTTATAAATTGTCATKGAGCAACTTTTCTCTTTGATTTTTATGAAGTTTCAGTTATTGGGTGAACCTCCTTTGGACCTTAGCTCATTCAGATAAAAATGGTCCCATAACTGTGTTGCATGAATRTTTGTAATGTACACAGGCATATACATTTGAAAATAATAAAGGAACAAAAGTTTACCATTGGAACATAAACCACAAACATACATTCCAGCACATGTGCTTGGGTTTTTCTCAGTGGCTTGCCTATGTTTGTCCATACGTACATGTATAAAATATACAATTGCAAACATGTCAGTGAAACCTCATATGATGCTTTTATAGTGACATGCATGTTTAATGTACAAGAAAAATATTTACCAATGTACTGTCTTTTGACTCCTAAAATATACATACTATACATGCCAGAAACTATTCTAATGTGACTATTGATGTAACTATTAAAATGAGGTTTCACTGTACATTCATGCTGTGAAGATTCAACCTTATAGTACATGTATATGGATACAGACAATGAGCCCTCATATTCCCGTTTTAAGTTACAGCCAGCTTACCACCAAATCACTACTATCACCACCACCAAAATTTTCAAAAACAGTTGTTGACTACTAAAAAGTAATCAGTGGACAGGCCTTTTTTAGGAGCAGTAAGCACAGTGGTGTGATTCTATCTGGGAAAACATCTAAGTTGTACAGCTGTATCCTCCTCAAAAATCCGGTGAAGAATGCTATTTTTCTAGGCTGAGCTTTTGTTATAAACCTAATATTCTGAAGGCAAGAGTTACAATCCTGATGTGTCTTTTTTTTTCATTTGTTAATTCTGAATGTATTTTTAACAGAGTGATTTTTTTGACTTACTAGTGTAATTTGCATTTTAAAAATAAATGGAAAAACAATTAAGTTTCTGAGCCATCCCTGRAAACCCCTGTTACTTCTCACAGTGTATTTGATTATGTCATTGACAGGGAAACCCTATCAAATTTACATGAAGGCACTGTCATCTCTGCAGTGCAAGGATGTGTCAGCAATGAAAAGAAACTGCCTGGTTGGGGCACCATCCAGCCCAGTCACAGGTGACACGTACTTGCATTACCTCCTGACACTGAGGCCTTGACTCGGTCTGCAATGGACCTACTGTCTTTTGGAAACCTTCCAGATTTAGAGTTGGTATCAAACTAATAATTGATGAAGGTGTTAAGACCCTGTGTTAAAAAAAAAATATTTGATTAAATTATAGGTATAGAGTTTTTGGGAGGTTTTTTATTAAATATATTTTATTTTCAATAAAATAATTTCAACTACTTATTTATTGCCCCTTCAATGACATAATCAACTGTGTTATTAGAAAATTGATATTCCCCTCAACAGAAGATAAATGTAATGCCATGTTATGGGGTAGGAGAGACAAATAGAAAGGATGAAGCCCTGGCAACTGATTTTGTAGCCCTTCATCTCAGCCAAGGTTCACAATAGGCACTAAAAGGAGAGAGAGCCACTGGCTCACCTGCTTCAGGCTTTGGGGCCACTGAGGCTGTGGGCGTCCCCCTCCGCTGCATGCAGACACATTGCAGCCCCTAAAAGTCAAAGTACTCAAGTGGGTTCAAAACAAGGACAGCTTTGAGGCAGTATATCAAGGAGCTGAAGATCAACTCTCAATCCTTGATTTGTCCGTTGCATGGGGAGAGCCTTGTAAATGATCAAGCCTGATCTTACTTTTGTTCCCTGTGTGAAAAGTCTGCTGTGACGGTGTTCACTGAAGTTGACGTGGATGACTGCCATGCCGTCAAAGGCACACAACATCTCAGTTGCCTAGAAAAAGACGAAATCAATAGGTCAATCATAAATCTACATATGTRTTTACCTTAAAGAAAAGATTCCTTCTTCTGCAGGTCTCAGTTAAATAAATCATGAGCTTGGTACATAACAGGCAGAACTAAGGTATGCATTTGCTAAGTACTGAAAAAAAAAAAAAAAAAGAAAGAAAGACCCTCTGATACAGTGAAGCCAATCCACTTCGTTTCACTGTGATATCATGAATGAATGGCTCCTTTTCTTTCAGAAATATAAACCCATTTTTAAAATAGGTCATGTTTAGAACAAACCTTTGAGATCCAAAATCTATTCATTATACAGACAGTAAGATAAGGCCTGGAGACATTAAGAAATTACACAAGGTGAGCATGTATTCTAAAAATGCAAATTAACTCACATTCCACAGCAAATTCTTGTGTGCAATCTGATCAGAAAAGAATAAATCAAATCCCAGACATTATCAATTGACCCTGGACTTTGTAAATTGAAACAAACCATGAAAAGGAAGACCTTAAGACATTTTTAAATCATAAAATGCTTTTGAATTATTATGTGTTATGTTCAATATAGTTTCAATATTAAAATATATTTTATTATATGTTCTTTTGAAAACCATCAATCCCTACMCACATGTAAACATGTGGATACATGATTTTATGTATTTATCAATTCTATTTAGTTACAGAGAAGATTTTCTGTTAATTTCTTTTACAGTACATTTACAAATAACTAATATTAGGATTATTTAAACAGTTTCATCTTGGATGCTTTCTCTGTTTGTCAAGAAAATTCTTCCTTCAGACATTTTATCTATCTTTACTAAAATTTCAACACTCAAGACATATCCTCAAGAAGCCTTGGCATTAAGATTCTTACATTGCAAAATATAAACCCCAAARTTATTTTCATCTCATGTAAATCTTTGCTTAGGATTTTTGTCCAATTCTCTTTTCATTTTATTACATCTACCTTTCACCCACAACCAAAAAAAAAAAAAAAAAAGAACAAAATCCATAATCGACCTTATATGTAATTTACAACAAATTAGAATATTGAAACAATTGTTCTTTTGATAGCGACGGGAGAAAAATATCAGAAACATSAATTCTACRCCTTTTTATTCAGCAAAAATTTAAACCAGATTAATACTTTCAAGGATTATATTTGCAACTGAAATCTGCGTTAAGTWTTATGAGTTATGGTTGCCAGTGACAACACAGAAAATAAAGGTGAGTCTGTATTAAAATGGATGAAAGCAGGTATTTTTATATTCTCTAGAATGAGAACAAAGATCATTTAAAAAAATCTTTAAACATTATGGAATTTAGAAGCAATGAGAAAATTTTGGTGGGGGATAATGAAAAGTGATATTGGTAAGTTAAATTCATAGAGGAAAGAAATCCCTTTACAAGCCACAGGTTGATGATCTTGCACAGGCTAAATTGTTACTAAAATTAATGTCAAGCTTTTCTTTGAGAGTGCCTTAATAATGTGGCACCTTAATAATGAAACAGTTATATTTTTAACTACTTCTTCTACCCTCATATGAATTTAAGCTATAACAACAAAGGAATTAAACAACTCCCAGAAAAAGATGGCAAACTGATGCTGTCACCCCAAGAATGATGGATTGATTCAATTAATCAGTAAGTCATTCCTAAGAGTCCTTCAGGGAGTTATTTACCAGAGGCATACCCCGTTTATTCCCTTCTAGGCGCCTGTCATTTTTCTTCATTACTCTTCTAGCTTTACTCATTATATCTTTGGGGGATATGCTGATCTCCATGTGCAGAAGGTTTTGCACGCAGCTGTCCAGACATAAATCTTCCAAACTTCAAAATAGAGGCCACCGAAACACCTGAGTCTATTGTCATTGTTATTTCAAGCTGACCAAGACCATCTCAGGTTGGAGTCAGACAAATGGACACTGACTTACAAGTAGTCATCGATGGGGAAGTATCAAATTGACTAAAGGCTGAAAAAAAAAAATCTTTCATTCATAAAGATGTCACTACCTTGTGTTCCATTCTGTGGAACCAGCCTCACTATGGATGACCTCCCATCTCCAAAACCAGACAGGTACAGATGGACCACTCTGAGAAGCTGGGACCTATGCTCAYAGCTCATGGTAAAACAGGACACATTCAGGGATCCTGTAGTTTTAGATATCAACAAAAATTTTTCAACATGAAATGTTTCTGCTTGTAATGGGCCAAATCATCTGTCAGTTTAGTTCATAGACACAAAGGATTCTACCACACACCTGCTAGAATGACTATTATCAAAAAAAAAAAAAAAAAACGAAAGAAAGAAAGAAAAAGAAAACAAGATTGGTGAGGTATGTGCCAAAAAATGGAAACCTTGCACACTGGTGGTGGGAATGTAGATAATGAGTACAACCATTATGGGAACATTTTTAAATCAAAAATAGAACTAATATGTGTCCAGTGATCCCACTTGTGGGTACATATGCAAAGGAAAAGAAATCAGTGTGTTAAACTGTACTCCCATTTGTAATATAGACTAGATGTGGAATCAAAGTGTCCATCAAACAGAAAGAAGTATGAAGAAAATGTGATAGGTAGATAAATATAGATATATGAATAATATTGAGCTTTAAAAGAAAAGGAAATCCTGTCATTTGTGATAACATGGACAAACCTGAAGGACATTATGTTAAATGAAATAAGCCAAGCAAAGCAAAGATAAATACTGCAAAATCTCACTTACATGTAGAACCTAAAAAAGAAGTTATAAAAATCAGAGAGTGGAATGGAGGTTATCAGGGTCTGGGAGGTAGGGAGAATTTACAGATATTGGTTAAAGTATACAAAATTCCAGTTAGGAAAAATACGTTCAGGAGATCTGTGATACAACATGGTGACTGCTTTCACCTAATAATTATAATATCAATGACTATAATAACAACRTGCTCTATACTTAAAAATTGGTAAGAAAATAAATTTTAAATGTTCTTACTGCATAAATATAATAAGTATGTGTGGTAATGGATATATTTATTAATTGTTTTGAATTAGCCATTGAATAATACATACCTACAGCTAAAAAATTATATTGCTGTATACCATAAATATACACAATTCTTGTCAATTAAAAGACCTCACCCTGCACAAAAATCAACTCAAAGTGGATCAAGGACTTAGGCACTAGAACAGAGACCTTGCACTTACTAGAAGAAAAAGTAGGCCTAAATCCTCACTATGCCGGCTTAGGAACTGACTTCCTTAACAAACTCCTAAAGCACAAAATGTGAATTCAAGGATCAATAAATAGGATGGAATCAAACTGAAAAGCTTTTTCACAGCAATAACATGAAACAATCARTAACATGAAGAGAGAGCTTACATAATGGAAGAAAATCATAGATAGAGCATTAATCTCCAAGATGTATAAAGAACTCAAAGAACTTAACACACACAAAAGAAACCCAAATAACCCAATCAATAAATGGGCTAAGGAACTGAAGAGACACTTCAGAGAAGAAAAAATGTGATTGATTAACAAATATATGAAAAAATGTTCAATATATCTAGCAATTAGATAAATGCAAATCAAAATTACACTGATATTCCATCTCACTCTAGTAAGAATGACAATTATCACAAATACAAGAATGAAATTATAGCTCTGCTGGTAAATGGAGGGATCTGGAGAAKATCATGTTAAGTAAATTAAGCCAATCCCAAAGAACCAAAGGCCAGATGTTTTCTATGACATGCAAATGCCAATTCACAATAAGGGCTGGGGTTTGGGGGGATAAATAGAGGTACTATGGATTAGACAGAGTGGAGTGAAGGGAGGGGAGGGGGTTATGGGGGTAGATAATAGAATGATAATAGAATGAATTAGACATAATTACCCTATGTGCATATATGATTACATGACCTGTGTAACTCTACATCCTGTACAACTGGAAGAATGAGAAGTTATTCTCCATTTATGTATGATGCATTCTACTTTCATGTATAACTATTTAGAACAAATAAAAAATTAAAATCAATTAATTTTAAATAATAATATCCAAGAAGAAAAAAACTGGAGAGGAAATTCATGCTAAATCTTGCTAT